GATCAAACATTCTATAATCAAGTTATTTCGTAAATCACGTAACATTGCATTGCTATTTGGTGTTATAGTACAATTTCCATATAAATGAAATTCAACGTTAAAACATACAAAATTATGCATTTTTAAAATTTCGAAATAGAATGAGGAAAATATGTGTACGGCAAAAAGTAAAGATGACCGGTAGGTGCAACAGAAAAGAAACACCGGCGACGATCGTATTCATCCAAAACGTTGTCCGGCACGTTGTAATGAAAAAGATTGGGGTTTGGTACATTTTTTAGAGCTAACCCCATAACTTTTGAAAAGGTGATAGAACGAGGTTTGGACCGACCGACCGGGTCTTTTAGACATATAATAAATGTGGCTAAGTTAGAACGAAGATTGACATCACACTAGGTTTGTAGAAACAAAAATAAATACCCAAATAAACCGACTAACCAGTTTATAATTTGGATACATCGTTTTGGTTCAATCGGGTTTTGGGTTTGAATTATTAGATAATCGGTTTACCCGTTTTATTATCCGTCCGGGTTAATTAGGGTAGGAAAAATATTTTTGGGTATGTTTTAATACCCGATGTGGATTTTAAAAACAAAACACATGTTATACAATTGAGTTTACCGTTTCATCGTCGATATTAGAGAGGCGCCAAAAGCCAAAACATAGATATTATGTTACCAAAACCCTCCATTGAGAAATAAATTAAGAGGAATGTTGAAAAAAATATAGTCGAATCAATGAGTGATCAGTTAAGAGAAATTGTTTAAGATCATTCATCAATGTTAATTATTTTATAATGGTGGTAACTAAATAGTTCTAGATTCCCGATTCAATCTTTAAGTCATACTCGTCTGAACGGTAGCGTTGCAATCAATATTTAGCATTGTGGAAGGGTTTTTGATCCGTTTAGTAGTTCTTTGACTCCTAAGGTTTTGCACCTAACATTGGTTGGAGGGATAGTATAAGTGACAAACATGAGTGTGAAAAAGATTGTGAAACAATGTATGAAATTTATAAAGATAGTTGTTTGGACATGTTATATTTCTCCTTTTTAATGCTTTATAGTATATTATTTTTTATACGTAATAAAGAAACTTTGGTACATATAAGTAGATCTTGGATTTGATACTACCATGAAGGTGGCATAGTAAAGGTGCAATAAGAATGTGTATATTTTGTGATGCTCAACACATTTTAGGTGTTTAGGAACCTGATAAGTGTTAATTTTTGGATATATTTAAAAGAAGTTTAACAATCTTTTATGTGTATATTTAAAAGAAGTTTAACATTTTAGGTGTTTAGGAACATAATGGGTAGGTGTATAAAGGACCATGGCACATTTCGTGATACTTTACAAAAACCGACCAAAATAAAAGGAATGAATAAACTTATCATGGAATCAAAGCAGAAAAGATGTCTAATTCACAATGGAAGGTACATACCAATAAAGTCTATATAATTCATTATTAAGACATCATGTATATAGAAAATTATATTTTACTATATCTATTATTCAAGTCACATTCATGTATACATGCTCAACAATTATTTTTTTATGCAAGCCAATCACATAAGAGTGTCATGATATGCATACGCTAGATAGGGATGAGATTTAGAACCGGAAAACAGGACCGGAACCGGAATCGGAACCATTAGAACCGGAATATGTAAAATCGGTCCGGGTCCCGGGTTTAAATAATGGCTTTATCCGGGTTCCGGGTAATCCGAGTTTCGGGTCATTCGGGTCCGGGTAAACCGGGTTTAAGAACCGGAACCGTATTAGGAACCGGAACCGGTTTTAGGGGCCAAAACCGGTTTTTATGAAAAGTTTAAAACATGAATATTTCATTCGTTTAAAGTCGGATTGCAATAAGGTTTTTTCCAGAGTGTTTATAGTTTGTGTATGATTTCAGACTATAATTTTGTCATTTTTGAGTTAATATTCATTGACTTACAATCCCCCAAAGTCGGGATATCAAAACAGTAAATTTTCTGTTTTTCAGCTTTATTTTTATATTTTGTGAAATTTTAAAAATTCATATCTAATTCGTTTAAAGCTGGATTATCATGAGGTTTTTTGCAACGTGTAGTTTAGAGTTTCTAAATGATTTTAGACAATAATTTTTTTATTTTCGGTTTCATATTCATTGACTTACAGTCCCCCAAAGTCGGGATATCAATGCTGTGAATTTTCTGTTTTTCAACTTTATTTTTATGTTTTGTGAAATTTTAAAAATGCATATATAATTGTTTGAAGTCAGATTATCATGAGGCTTTTTGCAACGTGTAGTTTAGAGTTTATACATGATTTTAGACTATAATTTTGTCATTTTTGGTTTCATATACATTGACTTACAGTCACCCAAAGTTTGGATATCAATGCTGTGAATTTTCTGTTTTTCAGCTGTATTTTTATATTTTGTGAAATTTAAAAATATATATCTAATTCGTTTGAAGTCAGATTATCATTACGTTTTTTTGAAACGTGTAGTTTAGAGTTTGTACTTGATATTAGACTATAATTTTGTCATTTTTGGTTTAATATTCAATGACTGACAGTCCCCCGAAGTTGGGATTTCAAAGTTGAAAATTTTCGAAGTTAAACCAATAAGTAATTACCAAAAAGTTCATTATTTCCCAGGTTTTCTGGTTCTAGACCCACTTTACTTGGTTCCACCCGAACCACTTTAATGTTTCCGGATTTTCCAGTTCTAGACCCACTTTAACTGTTACCTTACCCGAAACTGAACTGGAACCGGTTCCTATATACCAGTCTGGTTTCCGGTCCTACAAAATCCCGTTAACCGGTTCCCGGGTTTTCCGGGTCCGGGTCTACCGGTCCGGGTTTGTACCCACTCTCATCCCTACGTTAGAAAATACGCTTTAAAAACTAGAATACATTCTTATTCTTTACATAAAAATCATGACACATAAAAGTTAACATGTTCAAACAAGGATAATATAACATGCTTTGTCATTTCCAATCATTTGAACATATGTATCACATACTCTTGAAAAAGATGTCATCAAGTAAAGACTTAGCAAGCTTGAAAACACTTCTATATGCTTTCACAAATAAGATCAAATTCTCAAAAAACCTTTCCTATTTTTCCATGTACACCATAGATGGGAGATCCTCATGTACTCACCTTATTGGTTAGATTAACTAAACATAATGTCCATTATTGCCTTTTTCCTTAGCTCTCTTTATTTTTGTAGGGTAGAATAGATTCTAAAATATAAAAATCATGTTTAAAGCAATGAAAATATTGAACACACGAAGGTAATTAAGATATAATTTTCAATTAGAGAATATGAATTCATTACGATACTGATCGTATGGACGTTAGCAAAAGGTATATCTTATCTATCTAACTACTATCCGTTATATATAGGTTCATACCTAGGGAGTCCATTAGAGACTGGCCAATAACATCATGACACCTATATAGCGACAACTTATATAACAGTTAATCTCTCATCACTACGAAACCTACGTAAACAAACAATGAAATTGTACATGCATTTAAAACAATACATTGAAGACTTAAATATATCAATAACGAAACATTTTTCATAAAATCACACAACACATATACTTTTCAAATCCTAACAACCTCCCTTTGTGTTGAGTTGAAAAAGAAGTCTTCACTTGATCTCATTGAAAACCGTAAGAGCATAGCCAAGTTCATTATTCGAACCAACAACCACCAATACAACATGTCAGACACGTGTTTGATCTCATTCTTTGAATTCATCTTGCAAATTTCAACTTTCTCAAGAATGCCACTCAAAGTCCCAAACTTATAGCAGTGCTTATCCTGTAAGTACATTAAACGGTTCTTCAACACTTTGTTAATCACAATCTTGTACACCACTCCCCATGGATCCTTTTGAACTTGCCCATCTCTCATACTTTCAATACCTCATGGTTGATCACAAGGACCGATAATAGTATTTTTCTTTAAGAACTCATCCATTTCCACATCCATCTTACAAAGCTCCAAGAAATAAAATCTTATCATCTTATTCAAATGAAGCGTTGATTTATGTACTTTGTCTTGTCCTTTGATAAGATAGTGAATAACATGAACCAGCCATATGGATTCATCAATGGAAAATTAGCAAAAGAAAATATGCACTCTTCATTGTTGCTCCCTTGTAATGCTTTGAATTTATAATTCACAAAATTCATCTTTCACTTCTTCAGCTTCACATTCTCGAATGGCTAAAAATTTGTTCAAGATCCATACTTCCTATTGGGACCTAGACTGTGAACCATAGAACCCAAAAAGATTCTTTTTCATAGTACCATTGTTCAATGCAACACCAACAATATTCAGTAAACATCTCAACATAAACGCCTTCGCAGTCATAGACAAATCCAATTGACAATCAGTCTTGTTTTCCAAAACAAATGATAACCTTGGATTGAGCCAGTATATCTCGACATTTTTTATAGAATCATTCAAAATTTAATCAACATTCCACTCATGTCAAAGTGTTTTCTTCATAAGTTTAACTGTGTCCTTTTCTCTTTCTTCTACTTCTTTCTGCCTACGCTTTATTTCTAATTGTTTTATCTTTTCAAGCTCCCAATCAGTCTTTGGTGGTTCATGATACTTTGGTTTTTCATATTCAAGATCAACCTCCGGTTGTGTCATGATCTTGACAGTGCCAGATCTCGACGCTTTGGTAAGAACAATTGGAACAACAACCTCTAATTGCTTTCCCAAAGGTTGATGACCAATAATAATCTTCTTCGCAACTTCAAGCTTCTTTTCCATATTTGGCACCACATGCAGGTTCTCAATATTGATAACATTACCCCCATCTCCCCCTTGTTGCGAACTAGCATCGTTATTCGGAACACCTTCAGTCATAAAGATCTTTAAGAACGGGGGTTGAAGTTTTGCATCCAATAAAGCAGAAATATAGTTAACATGTGGTGCATCCTTTTCTTTAAAAAATTTCACCAACCTTTGATTTATCTCAAAGTTTCAAGCCTTCACCAACAACATCTCATCATCCATTTTTTCCAGCTCATATTTCACAAACATGAATTCCTGTTTGAGCGATGTTATTTGCGTTTCTTTTCGCGCATGTTCATGTGCTATTTTATCTTCAGTATCATAATTCTTAACAAAAGTATTTATGAACTTAATGAATTTTTAATTGTGAAATATATTGTAAAAAACAATAAGAAAATTAATCTCCTTTACTTCATTAATTGTTGCTTCCATCTTCGTAGCATGCTCTTTCACTAGTTTCTCATTTTCTTCACACAATCTCTTACTCTCATAAAGCAGAATCTTCACCGTGGCTTCATGAACTATCATTATGTTTTGGAAATTACTAATTGAGAAAGCTTCACCATGACTCACCAACATGTTAATTTTTTGATTTAGTGCCCTATAGTATTTTCTTGTGAACGGCATATTCATAGTCTCTTCATCTGAATCACTCTCGTCATCGAGCAGTGAATGAGATAACTCTGGTTCAACAATAGCTTCAAAAGAATCATTATTATCTTACAAAACAACATCATCATCAAGAAGATGTGTATATACCCCAAAAACACTATCATCATTCTGATCATGAGTACCTGAAGGTTGAGACAATGGCATTGATGTTGGAATTGTAGTGTCTAAAATAGCAACTAAAGAATCAACAACCAGAGTAGTTGAAGAAATGGTTATTTTTGTTGTGGTTTTGAAAGGAGTTGTAACAATGGTAGTTGTGATAGGTGTAATGGTTGATGGAGTAAAAATTGGTGTGGTTTGAGGTCACAAATAGATGATTGGTTGAATTGTGATAGGTTGTGTTATGGGAATGGATTGAGTGGTAGGAATTGGTTGTGTTGGAATTGGTGGTATAACTGGCTATTGGTATTGGGATATAGGTTTCTATTGGATTTGCAAAAGGAGTAGTAGTAGGTTTCGGAATGAAAGATACCTAAGGACCTTGCGAAGAATTTGGATTTGCATTTGGAGCTGGAATCATAACTATAGCTTGTTGCTTAGTAGACTTGGGTAGTTCTGAAGACCTCACAATGTCTTCTTAGAATTGGATATATGTGTTGCGCCATTGGGTTTTGTTAAGTTCGGTCCATTGTATACATGGTTTGGGCCTGTCCAACCGTTTGTTTTGTTTAGGGTTTAGTATTTATGGTGCATGCATGCATCAAATTTGTTACGTTTTTTGATAAATTCTTCTTAAACAAGTATTGTAACCCTAGCACACCTTTACAGTAGCAATTCGTATTGAGTTCTTCTGAGGTGGATCATATTAATCATTCGACATTCGTTTGATTCATCGTGGTGTTCTTTATTTCCTGTTATTTGTTATTAATTCGTGGATATCTGTTTGAATCTATCGATCTAAGATAACTTTATTCTCATCAATTGGTATCAGAGCAGGAGGCTGTGTAAATCATACGCATCTCTTCTGTTTGAAGAATTTTCTTAGGGTTTCCGCTCTTATTGGATCTATTCAGCCGTCATTCCTTCATTGACGTTGTTAATAGATCTCGATATTACCCTATTCGATCTTTACAAGTTTGATTCTTAGCAGATATCTGAAAAAGTTCATCATGTCTCACGAAGATTCACAAACCAATCCGATCAATATCTCCAACAGTATTGGATCTACAACCAGAATCCCGATTTTATACACTCAGGATTATGAAGTTTGGACGCATCACTTTGAGGACTACGTAGTTGGCTCAGAAGAAAATGGTTATCTTATCTGGGAAGCAATAACATTGGGTCATTTTGTTCATTCTGTCACAAACAGAACTATCAAAACTCAAAAGGAGTACAACAAACTCCTAACTGATGTGGAGAAGATTCCTCAAGATGAAAAAGATAAGCTGCTGTGTAACGTTAAAGCTATGAGAATGATCCGATTCGCTTTACAGTCGGATACATTTCGTTTGGTAAGCCCATGCACCACAACAAAAGAGATCTGGGATAGACTCAAAGAGTTGTATTCCACTGATGAAGACCTAGAGCATTCTATCCAAACTCTATTGCTCTCTGAGTTTGGTGATTTTCAACAAAAGCCAGATGAAAAACTCATTCAGGCATTCGATCGTTTCAACCATCTCTTGAGCAAGATGATCAAGCATGATATTGGAAGGGAAGTGATCGAGCAGAAGGTCACATTTTTGAATGGTTTAAGACCTGAATGGATGGCTGTGGTATCAACTGTGAAGGCTCATGAGTAGTTTAAAACCTATTCATTTGCGAAGATGGTGGGTATTCTCAAGTCGCATGAAAGTGTTGTGACAAAAGAAGTGAAAGTGGTGTTTGGTATGGGATCCTTGGCCCTTCTCTCTAAGGCGAAGAAGGTGGCAGAAGATGAAGAAGAGTCTGAAATGTCAGAATGCGACCTGACAAGCGAAGAGTATGCTATGATGGTTTCCAACCCGAAGAGGTTTGCTCGCACAAAGTTTCCAATTGCCAAGAACCGAAACTGGCAGGGAAGCTACAGCTCCGAAAAAGCGAAATAGGAGAACAAAACTACTCCTCAAAAGAAGAAGAGAAGAAGGAGAGCAAACTGGTAGGAGACTCCGGATACGATTGCAACTTCTGTCATGGCAAAAATCACTTTGCCAAAGATTGCATGTTGAGAAAGATATCGAAGAAGAAGGAGGGTGAAGATGATGAAGCATACTATATGCATAAGCTGGAGGAGATAAAGAAGAAGAAAGCGTCTAACAGTTCGATGAATGCTTTGATTGTACAGGAGAACGTTGTGAATGATGAGTTCGGTGGTGTGGAGGTCTGGTCCACAGACTCTGAAGACGAAGAAGTACGTAAACCCACACATGCCAAGGCGTTTGTGGCGAATGATGAGAGTGCTGAGTTTGCTGGGAGATGCTTGATGGTGTCAGCTGGAGTGTCGCAAATGAGGGGCTACACAACCGAAGGCGAGTGTGGTGAGGCGAACCTGAAGGAAGATAAGTGTTTTGCTGCCAAGCCTGTGAGCGAGAGGATCGACGATTGCGATCAATTGATCAAGAAGGTACAATCCATTCTCAAAACACTTAAAATTCCTGTAACAAACTATGAAAATGAATTAAACAAATTAAAATTAAAATTTTCTAGTTTAAGTGGCAGTCTAATGCAAACACGCCTCACAAATGCTAACCTAACCGATCAAATTAGCAGGGTAACATCCAAGAGTGAGGAGCGAAGGATGTGGATAGAGAAGACGGAGTTAGAGTTAGTTAGGACTAGAGATGAAGTTATTTATTTGCAACGTGATAATTTGAAACTTATGAAACAAAGAAACATTTTTTGCTTGATTGCTAAACGTTTATATAAAAATATCACTAAATTGCATTTAGATTGTGAAATTGGCAAAAAGATTCACAAAATGATTTTGCCCTTCCTAGAGTTAAAGGAGGACGAAGTTGATATTGATGGTTATAACTGTGAATCTATTGTCTCTTCAGATAATATCTCTGATGCCTACAGGGTTGGTCTGGACAAAATCGAGTCCTTTACCAAGTCCAAAGACCATTAGGACATGCTCAAAAATCTTTTGGACGAGAACGATAAATTGAAAACCAAGACCGAAACCATACAAAAATTTGACTCATTGAATGCCAAATTAAGTTCAGAAAACAAAATAAATGTTGAAAACACTTCTGAATTTGACGAGGAAAGTGATATGAGCGAAATTTCTGTAGAAGATGTGGTTGGCTATTCAGAATTTGTCAAGAGCGAAACCGAACCTACCAAAGGTCTTGTATCTGAAAATTCAGTTGAGTTCTCTCGAGCGTCCCAAGATAAATCCAAGGTTCTTCAACCGAAAGCAGTGGTTTATCAAAAGGTACAAACTGTACCAAACCAAGTATACACCACGACAGGGGTTACTCAGAAACAAACAGCCGAACTGCCAGCGATTGTAAACGAAGATAATGCAGGTGGTTGTGACAGTTACTTTTGGTCTGCTCCAATCGAAAATGCAGACGAGACTGTTGGTTTATCAGAGAGAACCTCATGGAGGGTTAAAGGCAGATATGTGGCAGAGCCAATCAACAAGCCTACAAGTTTTGATGTACCAAGCACAAGTGGTACCAAAGAGATCCCGAGCGAACCAATGACAACTACAAGCGAAACCTCTTCATTGAAGAGTGAAGCTCATGCTGAGAGACCAAAGCCAAGGGCGAACATACACAAATCTCAACAGCAGCTTGCTGAACAAAAACGTCAGCAGAACAAAAGATATCAGAAGAATCTTAATGAAAGGAAGCAGTTTTGGAATTCGCAAAACCCCAACTATGTTCGCAAAGAAAAGGCGTCAAATCCACAGGCGAAAGTAAGCTCTCAGACATATAAGGGTCCATGCACTCACTGTCAATCTTACAGACAAGCGAACTGAAAGCCTACTTTCGGTCCCAGATCAAATGGTGACAAGAACCGAAAGCCCCACTTCGGTCCTAAAGTCCATTCTCCTCATTCACAACTAAAGGAGAATCCTAACAAGAATGTCAAGGATATCAAGGGAAAAGGGAAGCTTGTCTGTGATGATAGCCTTGATAAGAACCGAAAGCCAAGTTTCGGCCCCAAGTCCAATCCTCCTCATTCTCAACCGAAGCAGAATTCTAACAAGGATATCAAGGATGGCAAGGGGAAAGGGAAGCTTGTCTCTGAAGACAAAACGCTAACAAAGAAGACGTCAGCTAACCCTAGGAATCACAAAAACAAGCCTGTTAAGAATCAAAACAAAAAGTCTCAATCTGATTTAAACAAACTCAAAGTTTTTTCCATCAAAAGGAAAGACGAAACCACACTAATAAAACAAACTTATTTGGTTGATCTTTCTATAGCTATTCCCTGTTCTGTAAAAGGCTCACGTGGACCCAAGCAACTTTGGGCTCCTAAATATGCTTGATTTTTGCAGGTTATAAGTGACGAGTAGTTCGACGATGAATGGTACATTGATAGTGGTTGCTCACGTCACATGACAGGAAGGAGGGAAGAGCTAAGGGAGTTTCGGGCTCTTAAGGATGGTGGATGTGTCAAATACGGGAATAATTCATATGGCACAATCAAAGGCTACGGTATGATCACAAACGGAGAATTCTCAATCCGAAAGGTAGCATATGTAGAAGGACTGTAGCACAATCTCATCAGTGTCTCTCAACTGGTTGTGGGAACTGGATTGAAGGTTTCTTTTGATGATGAAGGTTCTGAGATTGTTGAAAAGAAAACGAAGGCTGTCTTGTTAAAATCCAAGCGAAAAGGAGAGATGTATCCTCTAAATCTTAACAAGATTCGAGGAAAGCCAGTTGTATGCCTTCTAACGAAAGCACACTCTGGCGAAAGTTGGCTATGGCACCGAAGGCTCTCACATCTCAACTTCAAGGACATAAACAAGTTGGTTATCGGTGATCATGTACGAGGACTTCCACTTCAAAAATTTGATAAGGAACATCTGTGCGCAGCATATGAGATGGGAAAGCAAAGCCGCAAGAGTCATCCGACAATTGTCAACACAAAGATATTGAGCTTCTTCACATCGATCTATGTGGTCCTTCGGCCATAGAAAGCATCGGTGGTAGTAAGTATATTTTGGTTATTGTTGATGAATTTTCACGTTTCACCTGGGTTTT